GGACAGAGGATCAGAAGTGGGTTCCACACTGACAGCAGATAGCACAATGCAGGGCTCAAGCTCGCAAACCATGAGATCATAATCAGAGCTGAAGACGGATGTTCAACTGACTTAGCCACCCAGGCACCCCAATACAATGGAATATTTCACAGCAATGGAAATAAACTATAGCTACATATGATAACATGAAAGAATCATAGCAATATTATGAATGAAAAATGCAAGTCTCAAAGGAGTACAAATATTATGTTGTTCATATAAATTTGTATAAAGTTAAAAAACTATAAAATAGTATAAGGTGCATGAACATGCATGTGCATGCATGCATGTGAGCGCGTGCGCACACACACACACACACACACACACACTCTTTAAAATTCTTTTAAAAGATTCTTTAAAGTTCATAAAACCAACCAAATTATTAAACACCAGATTCAGGACAGTATTTGCCTCTGAGAATAGACACTAGATAAGGAATATGGATTAAGTCATTTCGGTAAATGTAAAGGATCAGAAACATTCTATTTCTTGGATCAATTGGCAGTTTAATGGTATTCACTATGTTGTTGATTAAAAAAATGAAAAGTTTAAAGGCCCACGGATGGGCCATTGATGATTACATGCCATGAAGTAAGGGTTATCACTAATCCAATTCTACGTACCCAACTTCAAAAAGAAAATATATTAGTAATAGCAAACATGTACATTGTGCCTACCTTACCAGGTACCAGGCACTGTTCTAAGATCTTTCTGTTTTAATCAATTTAGTCCTCCCAGTGAAGAGATCTAGAATTATTCCCATTTTATGGATAAGAAAATTGAGGCCCAGAGAGATTAACAGTAACTCTTCTGCCCACGGCAGAGCAGAGGTTTAATTGTGGCTGGTTCCACAATCTATGCTCTTAACCACTGCCCTTCAAGATGTCTAAATAAATGAAAGAGATAATTATATTAGGGCTTAGTCATGCAGAAGTTACGATAGAGTGCTTTCTGTAACAATGTTAAAAGGATGAACCACATACAGAGCTCTGTAAATATACTAAAACCCACTGAATTCTACACTTTAAATGGGTGAACTTTATGGCATGTAAATTATATCTTAATAAAACTGTTAAAAATAAAGTCCACAAACCACAAATAAGTGACTTTAATAATGCAAACTGGGTCCTAAATGATTGTTTGCTATTTTAGGATTTAATATATGCCTATGGGTAAAATACATGCTTTTTCTGTAGACCAAACAAAATAAACCTCACTGTCAGGAGACCACTCATGTTATGGAGGAAAATGAAATTGAACATTTTAATTCACAGTTGTGGGTGGGAAAATAATTTCAATTCCCAGCTTCAGGCCTTTTTGCATCTGCCAGGATATCAAACAGCTCTCAGCTCCCGAGATAAATTTCATATTGCAATCATAATTGTCTGTGTGTGTACTGAGGGTACACAAACAATAACACCTAGCAAGGGTGGAAGGAAGACATTTGATTGCAAACATACTGATACCTTTTAATTGTGCAGTTTTCGTCCATGAGCATAATTTCTATTTGCTTTTTTCTTTTAAATCTAAAATGTCTTAAAGGATATGGAAAAAGCACTTCATATAGAAAGCCAGTTGTGGCTGCTCCCCTGCTGGGCTGGGCCCTCTGGGGCCCTTGAATTGCACAGCTTCGAGGGAACAAAGGTGAAGCCAGAATGGGCTCTGGTGGCTTTTCCTCAACTCCATTTCTTGGTTTTTGGCAAGGCATTCACAAGGAGGCCGGATGAAATCTTGAACTGGATCTCAACAACTCCATCCCCAATGCAGAAAAAGGGTTTGAAGCCCTGGACCTCTAAACCATAGATCACACTTACCCTGTTTCAGCTCTTTGGAAACACATGTGTGAAGATAGGCTCATAGGATGTCCCTAAGCACCTTCCTGCTTTAAAGGAAATGAAAACATTCATTTTGACTACAGCATGCAAACGGCATTATCCGCTTTCACTGTGGACATACACACATACACACACATCAAAGTTATGCTTTGGCTCTGTTACTAGTAATGGAATCCAGGCCCTTCCTGTTTATCCGTGCAACTTACCAGTCCTTTCCAGACCAGACAGGGTAGTAGCCCCTTTTAAGGCAAGTTCTCCTGCTCAGCTGTAGGCAGTGGCTTGGGACAAACTCCCAGGTATTTCAAATGCCAAGCCACTAAGCCTAGCAGAGCCTCAGATGCTGCCACACATACTGGCAGAATTCAACTTTCCCTCAACTCTTATGCTCCCTCAATCCCTGTCATGCAGTTTAAGAAACTGTACTGATTTGGTCATTATTTTTTCTTTGATCATTCAGTCACCTACACAGGTCGGCTTAGGCCAAAGTCACTCTGGAGCCTGGTGTATTTGGAATTGCTGTTACATTAAGTAATCAGATAATGGCTTAACTTCAATTTTGTGTTGTATTTAATGTAACCTTGAAACAGATTACAATCCCCTAACAACATAAAGCCTTTTGTTTTGTGCTTCTACAAACAGCGTGTTGGTTGTTGTGGTCCTTTAATCTCTAGTGTCCAGATTTCTATCTTTAAATATTATTTCTCACTAAAAGGAATCAGATCTCCTTGGAGAGATGGCTGATCCCATGTCTGGGGCAGGAAATGTACCAGATAAGTCCAGAACAAAATAATGAAGAGTGGGGAGAGCGGGAAGAGAGCATAGAAGACACAAGACTGACACGAGTTGGTAATTGTTGAAATTGGTATATGGGAGTTCTTTACGGTATTCTCCCTTTGTATATTTTCTTCTTTTTCCATAAAAAGTTGCTTAAGGGAAGCCAAAAATAGTTGCTACTAAAAGAAAAAATGAAACAGTAATAGCATGCACATGGTAAAACAAGTTTCCTTTTAATAATGCAGAAAGTTACACAACGAAAAGGTGGGTGTCTCTCTCACCCAGACCTCAGGGTGATCTTCCTACCAATTTCCTAATATTCTCAATGTTTTATGATATGTTAACAAAAACATTACACCAAAGCATGGGTATTATTTTTGAAAACCGCAAACGGAAGCATGTTATACACATTGCTCTATGCCTCAGTTTTATTTTGTTGTGTACTTATTTTGAGAGAGAGAGAAAATCTCAGGCAGGCTCCCCGCTGCCTAAGCAGCTTTAACGCAAGAACTGCCATGTCAAGACCTTGGCCAAAATCAAGAGGGGGACAGTTAACTCACTAAGCCACCCAGGGGCCCCTCAGGTTTTATTTTAAAAGCTGATCTTACTACAGCCGGTAGGTCTGCGCAGGTTTTTTATGCTTTCGCATATTAGGCTTCTTTCAAGCTTCTTTGATCAAATTAAGGGTAAAAATTCACATTCACCTTCCTCAAGATTATCCAGAAAGAGGACGGCTAATGCAGGGCTAAACACCTTGCCGTCCTAATGGTAAGGCCAGCTTTGGAGTTTAGATTCCGGTTTGGGGGACACTGCCCGTTACCTTGAAAAATGTTTAAAGTTACATTCTCTACTACATATCGGACCTTGAGAGAAGTGGCTGAGGATAGGATCGACCCAAGAGTTCTCATAACCTCTGCCAGAGTACCCGGGAAGACTGCAAAAGCCCTACCGCTGTGATGAACTTGGCACTTCCTCCCTTCACCTGCCGAAGAGCAGCACCCGGCCCAGGTGTTTTACTTGCCTTACCCAATAAAGGTCCCCGGAAAGAACTGAAACTTGGGTTTTGAGGCGGATGATGACCGGAGACCAGAAGTTCATTTAGAGAGACGGCAAGGGGGCTGTGCCACTGGGTTTTTCTACTACCCTGACGCCGGGAGGTACGAGAAGCCGCAGAAAAAACGCGACCGGTCTGCAGGGAGTGCAAACTTGACTCGATTATTTAGTGAGGAGGAGGGGCGTTACAAAGGAAAAGCGAGCCGATCAAGGTTAACGGATCACAAAATCCAAACGCACGTGCATTCGCACCCGCAAGCCAGGGGCGCAGGCTCGCCCGGGGGTACTGGCGCGGGAGCGGGGGAAGCCGAGAGCCGATCCCCGAGCGAAGGCTGCGGCTCCGCGGCGCTGCCTCCCGGCTGCGGGCCCCCGAGACCCCGGACCTTAGCGGGTGCCGGCACTTCGCGAACTGTGAGCCCGCGGCCGGCCAGCCCAGCGGTCCGCATCTTTTTCAGGCTGTCCTGAAGCCAGAGGGACTAAGATGGTGTCCGCTGGGCGCGCCGGGACGGCTTCCCGAACAACCCGCCCCGAGAGCCCCTTGTCCCATACAGGTACTAAGTGGACGGCCCAGAAGTTTCGGGCTCCAGGGTCCGAAGCACACCAAAGTACGCCGCGAGACCGAATAAATGTTTGAGGAGCGAACGCCGAAAGCGCGAGGTAGGAGGAGCTGGCTCTGGTCACCATCTCGCGACGACTTAGTGACGTCGCACAGCAAGCGCGTGTTCTACTCTTTCACCTTCAGTCAGCCTCAGTCTACGGGCCTACCCCTTTAAGCGAATGATGGACAGTTATTTCAGCCTATCAGCTTCCTCATCAACATCCAATCAGATTTAAACTTCTCGCAGCCGCCCAAGGAGTTGGAAGAAGAGATCGAAAAAGGGAGCGCTTTCTCTCTCGCGAGAGCGCTGTAAGCTGGCCTCTCAGAAAAAACGCTAGAACAGATGGCCCGACTTCCCAAATAGTGAGTTAAAGGACGGAGTCACAAACCAATGAAAGGAATGAGGAGGTGGGATCGCTGCTTTTACCGCGCTAGAAGTACCGTTACAGGGCAGACTTTTTGTCCAATCAACGCCTCCAGACTTTGGGTCAGGTGACCCTAGAGTGCGAGAGGCGGAGCTACGGCCTGGCGCGAGGAACCGTTAAGATGGACAACGAATATAACCAATGAGGTGCTCCGACTAGGGCGTTGGGAACCCAATAACAGTGGTTGGGCGGGCGCCTTTCCGGAGCGCGGGGAGATGTAAAGACAGACAAATCCTTTTTCCAATGAGACTGTGGAAGAGAGGAGCTAATTGACCAATGAGGACTGTGGGGCGGGAGCCTTTGCCGCGGCGGAGTCCAAGATGGCGGCGTGCGGTTCCGCTGTGTGAAACGAGCGCGGGGCGGCGGGTTAATCATCTCCGCGGAGACGACCTCCGACGACCCGCAACAATGAAGGGAAAAGAGCGCTCCCCAGTCAAGCCCAAACGCTCCCGTGGTGGTGAGGACTCGACTTCCCGCGGGGAGCGGAGCAAGAAGTTAGGGGGCTCTGGTGGCAGCAATGGGAGTAGCAGCGGAAAGACCGACAGCGGCGGCGGTTCGCGGCGCAGTCTTCATCTGGACAAGTCCAGCAGCCGAGGTGGCAGCCGCGAGTATGACACTGGCGGGGGCAGCTCCAGTAGCCGCTTGCATAGTTACAGCTCCCCAAGCACCAAAAATTCCTCGGGCGGGGGCGAGTCGCGCAGCAGCTCCCGGGGTGGAGGCGGGGAGTCACGTTCCTCTGGGGCCGCCTCCTCAGCTCCTGGCGGCGGGGATGGCGGGGAGTACAAGACGCTCAAGATAAGCGAGTTGGGGTCCCAGCTGAGTGACGAAGCGGTGGAGGACGGACTGTTTCACGAGTTCAAACGCTTCGGTGATGTAAGTGTCAAAATCAGTCATCTCTCGGGTTCTGGCAGCGGGGATGAGCGAGTAGCCTTTGTGAACTTCCGGCGGCCAGAGGACGCGCGGGCGGCCAAGCATGCCAGAGGCCGCCTGGTGCTCTATGACCGGCCGCTGAAGATAGAAGCTGTGTATGTGAGCCGGCGCCGCAGCCGCTCCCCTTTAGACAAAGATGCGTATCCTCCGTCCGCCAGCGTGGTCGGGGCCTCGGTAGGTGGTCACCGGCACCCCACTGGAGGAGGTGGAGGCCAGAGATCCCTTTCCCCTGGGGGCGCAGCCCTGGGATACAGAGACTACCGGCTGCAGCAGTTGGCTCTTGGCCGCCTGCCCCCTCCACCTCCGCCGCCCTTGCCCCGTGAGCTGGAGAGAGAGCGAGACTACCCGTTCTATGAGAGAGTGCGCCCAGCTTACAGTCTTGAGCCAAGGGTGGGAGCCGGAGCAGGTGCTGCTCCTTTCCGAGAGGTGGATGAGATCTCGCCCGAGGACGATCAGCGAGCTAACCGGACGCTTTTCTTGGGCAACCTAGACATCACTGTGACAGAGAGCGATCTCAGGAGGGCTTTTGACCGTTTTGGAGTTATTACAGAAGTAGACATCAAGAGGCCTTCTCGGGGCCAGACCAGTACCTATGGTTTTCTCAAGTTTGAGAACCTAGACATGTCTCACCGGGCCAAACTGGCAATGTCTGGCAAAATCATAATTCGGAATCCTATTAAAATTGGTTATGGTAAGGCTACACCCACCACCCGCCTCTGGGTAGGTGGTCTGGGACCTTGGGTGCCTCTTGCTGCCCTGGCTCGAGAGTTTGACCGGTTTGGCACCATACGCACTATAGACTACCGCAAGGGTGATAGTTGGGCATATATCCAGTACGAAAGCCTGGATGCAGCGCATGCTGCCTGGACCCACATGCGTGGCTTCCCACTTGGTGGCCCAGATCGGCGCCTTAGAGTAGACTTTGCAGACACCGAACATCGTTACCAGCAGCAATATCTGCAGCCTCTGCCCTTAACTCATTATGAATTGGTGACAGATGCTTTTGGACATCGGGCACCTGACCCTTTGAGGGGTGCCCGGGATAGGACGCCACCCTTGCTGTACAGAGATCGCGATAGAGACCTTTATCCTGACTCTGATTGGGTGCCACCGCCACCCCCAGTCCGAGAACGCAGCACTCGGACTGCAGCTACTGCTGTGCCTGCTTATGAGCCACTGGATAGCCTGGATCGCAGGCGAGACGGCTGGTCCTTGGACCGGGACAGAGGGGATCGAGACCTGCCCAGCAGCAGAGACCAGCCTAGGAAGCGAAGGCCTCCTGAGGACAGTGGGGGCCGGCACCTGGACAGGTCTCCCGAGAGCGACCGGCCGCGAAAACGTCACTGTGCTCCTTCTCCGGACCGCAGTCCAGAATTGAGCAGTAGCCGGGATCGCTACAACAGTGACAATGATCGATCTTCCCGTCTTCTTCTCTTGGAAAGGCCCTCTCCAGTCAGAGACAGACGAGGTAGTTTGGAGAAGAGCCAGGGTGACAAGCGAGACCGTAAAAACTCTGCATCAGCTGAACGGGATAGGAAGCACCGGACAGCTGCTCCCCCAGAGGGCAAAAGCCCTTTGAAAAAAGAAGACCGGTCTGATGGGAGCGCACCCAGCACCAGCACTGCTTCCTCGAAGCTGAAGTCCCCTTCCCAGAAACAGGATGGTGGGACAGCCCCTGCAGCTGCAGCCTCTCCCAAACTCTGTTTGGCCTGGCAGGGCATGCTTCTGTTGAAGAACAGCAACTTTCCTTCCAACATGCATCTGTTGCAGGGTGACCTCCAAGTGGCTAGCAGTCTTCTCGTGGAGGGCTCAACTGGAGGCAGAGTAGCCCAGCTCAAGATCACTCAGCGTCTTCGTTTGGACCAGCCCAAGTTGGATGAAGTAACTCGACGCATCAAAGTGGCAGGGCCCAATGGCTATGCCATCCTTCTGGCGGTGCCTGGAAATTCCGACAGCAGGTCCTCCTCTTCCTCAGCCACATCAGACACTGCCACCTCTACTCAGAGGCCACTTAGGAACCTTGTGTCCTATTTAAAGCAAAAGCAGGCCGCTGGGGTGATAAGCCTTCCTGTGGGGGGCAACAAAGACAAGGAAAACACCGGGGTCCTTCACGCTTTTCCACCCTGTGAGTTCTCCCAGCAGTTCCTGGATCCCCCTGCCAAGGCACTGGCCAAATCTGAAGAAGATTACCTGGTCATGATCATTGTCCGTGGTGCGTCCTAAAGTCCATGTGTAACCTGTATTTACTACTTTGACATGGTTCTTGTTTTGTGATGTATAATGGGATACAACATCAGATGAAATTTTCTTTTGAATTAGTTGTTTAGTTGTAGCTTTTCTCTTTTTTATATTTTTATAAGCCTTTAAAATAGAAGTCAGGACAGTTTAGCTATTATTTTAAGTGAAAGGGATGCCCTGAAGGTAGCAGGCAGATTTGCTTTAATTAGGAGTTCCCACTCTTAAGGAGTAACTTTTTTTCTCTTTTTCTTCATTCTTTTTTCTCTTTTAACCTTGAGCTTAAAAAAAAATCCTCAGAGTTACAAACCCCAAATTTTGAAAAGTTGGGATTTGGAGAAGAGCCCACTGACTATATAAAGATGATAATATATACCTAAAAATGACTTGATTGGTATTTAGGTTAATAATTCCCATACCAGAAATGTTATTTGTGTTGCTGAAATTTGATCAGGAGTCTTAAAAGTACAAACTGGTAAATTGTATAGCAGTGTAATTATTTTAATCAGGTCTTTGAGTATTTCTCTTAAAATACATGGTTCATTCCCCGAGTGTCTGCTCTAACACATTTTTATCATTAGTTAAGTTCTGTATCCCGTATATGCACTTTTGGTTTGTAGCTGTAACTGTTCAGTAAAAATTGAGGAGTAGGTTACAAACCATATATGTCTTATGCTAGAATGCAAGAAGTGAGTAGGTGTTTTTAAAATCAGAATTCTTTGGTTAGTTACTGGTGTGTGGTGGCGTTTTTACTGACATTCAGAGAGGCATAGCAGGTACAGTTCTAATTTAATTGTGCATATTTCAAAACTTAAGTGTTTTTTCATCAAAGAGGAGTTTTTGTTTTTGTATCCATGCAAATTTCTGATTTCAATAATAGAAAGAAGAGTTGTCTGCAGGCTCATAAGTCAGCTTTTGTTTTAGTGGGCATTAATTAGCCATATCTGGATTGCAGAAATTTTTTAAGTCATCGTGAAATGCCTTTGACCTGCTCTTTTTAAATTTTGCCTGTATTTTTATTTTCACTTCTAAACAGTAGCGATGGCATTATATTACTGAAAATGTTTTGGATATCTTTTTCCACTGGTGTCCCAACTACAGAGAACTAAAATGTCAGTGTAGGAAAACTTTTTTTTATCATTGTTTTATTTCCCAGATACCTGGAATTAATACAAAATAATTTAACCCGACCTCACAGGTTTTTTTTTTGTTTTTTTTTTTTTGCCCCCCAAAGCTGAAGGTTATATTGCTTTCTGGTTCTTAAACAAGGGCTTTTGCTGCATAATAGTAATGGATGATTTTCTTTCTTTTTTTTTTTTTTTTTGTCTTGTTTCTTTCATCTATCTCTGTCCTCACCCCTAGTTTCTCAGTTCATTATAAGTATATTTTCTCCCTTGATTTAAATGTTGAGGACTTTAGCTAAGGCCCTTGATATTTAATTATGATTAGAAACTCTAGGATCTTTTGGATCATGGTCATGTTTCTATTCTGTGAAAAGTGACTTATAGAAAGCCTGGCAGAACCCAACTGTTTTCTTTCTGTTATCAGAGCTGGTAGTTTTGAAATAGCACCAATAATAACCCAGGGAAATGTCATGTAATTTGTTTATTTTCCGTTATGACAGGTGTCTAATGCATGTCAGCATGAAATCCTCATCACTGCTGTGTCATCCTTTTTGGTTTTCACTATGCATTTATAAACTTTCTTTTTAAGTTTGGAGGTTTTTGTAGGGTTTTGTTATTTTTAAACTGGAAAAACTAGCCATTTTGATAGAAGGAAGGTACTAGGCTGTGAGCACAAAGGTCCTTGGTGTGCTTGTAGGGAAAATACCTGAGATCCTACAAGTTAAGACCTAGTGCTTTTTGCTTTTAAAAACCTGTGCTTGGCACACGAATATGGAGAAGACACTGTTCCGAAAGTAACGTGAGTTTGCAGTCCACATACATGGGGTCAAAGTACAGTTTGGCTAGATCCATTTTTCCAGTTTAAATAATCTCACTAACCATTAACTTTTGAATATCTTTTGATAAGAAGGCTGGACAAATTATTTTGCTCTTTTAGAGAGTGAAGTCCACGACATCTAATTTTACTCTAATCCGAAGTGTGTTTCTTTTTCCCTTTTTCTTTTTTTCTTTCTTCCCTTTTTTTTTTTCTAAGTTGATGTGACAACCAGCCGAAGAGTACTGTGGTTTTTGCTCCATGTTTGTTTGAATCTTTATCTGACATGGTGGCTTTTGTTAGATCTGGGCAATTTGTGCTTCAGTGTTTTTGAAACAATGGCTTGATACCATTTCTAAATGTATGTATTAGAAATAACTAATTATGTTTAGTTTGGTGCTTACCTACAGAATGCCATTGTTCAGATGAAACTCTTTAATTTGTGTTGCCCATTCTGTTGCATAGGTTCCTAATATTGTTAAACTATCTATTTAAGCCTTCAGTATGGAATGAAAAGCAAGAGTCTAAAGTTGTTTGTTTCTAATTCTCATTAGCCAGAATTTCATAATCTCAATATTGGATGTTCTTTATAACAACCACTTGTTTCTTTTACTTTAAAAAAAAATACTTGTTTGGTTGATTTTTCTGGAACTCAGCTCAAATGAATGCAAAGAAAATTTCTTCAGTATATTATTTAATGACTTATTAAGTATTACTGGTGAAAAACATCAAGCTAATTAAGACTTGAGATCCACAACTTCAAAGTTTATGGAAAATTAAGCAAACATTCAGCTCCTGGCCAATTTTTTAATGTTACTTTGTTGTAACTGGGATTCCTATTAAGTGTTTTCCACGCAAAAATTTAAATTACTGGTATAACATGTATGTATACATTGACTCTGTAGATAAGAGTTTTCCCTTTAAGGATTACATCTTAAAATGTCCATCCTCTGGCCAGTATAAGCTTTTGTCACATTTTGAAGGTCACATACTCTGGCCCTTAACTCAGCTTACTTGAGGTACAGTAAGAAAAATAAGGTGTGTGTTTGTTGCTTTCAGAGTCAAACACTGTTTGGATTTATTTTAAAATGTTACGAGCAGGTTTTCACCGACCATATTTGTTTTGTGTTTTAAAATTTGAAATCCACTTTCTTTAGACTGTGAAACTGCTCATTATGCAGTTGTAGCTGGAACTGCAATTTGGGTCCATACAGGAACCACTCACCAAAATCTCTGTGGTAACCGAATTAGGATCTCCTCTTGAGAAGAGGGCCTTCATGACCTTTTTATGTGAAAAGTTTGGGAGAGAATTTCGGAACTTTTTTTTCTGTCTCTGCCACAGTGTTTGGTTTTGAGAGAGCAGTTAGGTGTGAGGGCAAGAAGAGAAGTGAGGTGGAGTTGGCCCTGTTAGCAGTCTGGTGTCCCTAAAGGGAGACAATGATTTCAGGTAACCACAGTGAACTGTCTAGCTATTTTAAATAAGAAGGTTTATACGTTTGGTTGGAACAGAGTTGAAAAGTAAAATTCCTAAATTGTTCTTTCGGTATTTAGCAATGGTCTCTATGAGTGTTTTCTTAAAATAACAGCTGCTGTCTTTGGTAACCCAGAGGAAGGTGGATTTTTAAATGGCTTTGTATCTTGACCCCTTTCTACAGCAACAGAGTAGTTCTGTATTGTTCATATAAACTACAGAACAAAAACGGAGGGGGTAAAAGTTTGACTCCACCTTTTTTTCAGTTTCATTTTTTTACGTTCTATTTAGAATATATTGATCCTAAATTGATGGTAAACTTCCTGTCTTTCTGAATTTGTTTGACATGTTTTACTCAGTTACATGAGTATAAAGGGTATCTTCAGTCCTATAATCTTCGCTCAGTGGCAGTCTTTAAAAAAGTCCACCCTGTTGTTCTACTTGTTACGTGTCTCTTCATACGGTAAATTCATTCAAGGTGTGTGCCAGTGGGTATTATTGGTGCTTTTTGAAGTCAAGCTGGATTATCCAGGAAGGTCTTGTTAATGTTGTGTTCATCTATAATGGCATAGGGGAAATATATATATTTTTAATATTATAAACGTTTGTACTGAATAACCTTTCTTTCCCCCCGCAAGCAAAACTGGTGAACTGCGGATTGAAGATATGGAATTCAAAGCTCTAATGGACCTTTTTGAAGAGAAGTTATGGCTTATGTGGAGTTTACATGGGCCTCTTGATGGAAGAAAGCTAATCTGTTTAGTATTTGTGCATTTTACTAAAATGGCAGCTTAAAGTTGTGTATCTGCTATTGTGATGCCAATGCCGGTGTTTTAAGTGGAAAAAAATGACCTCTTGCTTTGTGCTGTGTACACAAGATTTCTGGAAAAGTAAAGAAAAACCCTTTTTATGGCTCACACAGCTTAAAAGTAGCTGTCACTCAAACGTGCGCTCACAGTTGAGCTGCTTTTGTTTTATTCTAAATAAATTGTTTCTTTTGAGGAAAATGTTTTTCTGCCTGGAAGTGAATTGACGGCAAACCTTTGACCCCTTTGTTTGCAGCTGAGGGGGTACTTGCTGCTGCTCAGATCGCGTGTGTCTTGAGCCAGAAGCAGGGAGACCATCGTTTTGACTACCGCGGTGTGTCAATTCTGAAGGATCACTAGTGTTACCGTGACCCCCTTTGTGTGCAGTGAAGGGGATCATTTGCTTCTCAGTCCTCAACTTGATGAGGAATGGTGCTGTTGGCTGGCACGCAAGAAGCCGGGGCAAGCACCGTAAGCCTCACCGCAGTGCACGAGTCGGGGGCTTTGCTGGTTTGAAGAGCCGGAGTTGCTGAAATTTAAGTTTTGATTTATTTTGTCCACCCATCACGTTTGGCCTTAGTTTCATTTTTAATTTGAAGAAAAGTTTGAGATTGCTTTATCTTGCACTTAACATTTGCACCAAATTGCCAAAAGAAGGAGAAATGCTCCGTTTGCGTTCTAAATGTTAATGATGATGTTAATAAAGCCTTTCCTGACACATTTGAGGAGCTCCTGCGTCTCCAGGGGCTTCTTACCAGAGTTATGCAGTGATGGGTTTAGTTCTGAATGGATGAAGAGTTCCTGAGAGCTAGCGTGTGTAATTAGAACCGGTTACTCGGTATCTGTGCCTTATTTGACCTGTGGTTCCACATGCCTTGGATGTGCATGCACCGTGACGGTTTCATAGGTACGAACGCACACTCGGGCCCGGTCACCTCGGTTGGTAGTACAGAGTGTGAGGAAAAAATGGAGGCATCCTTAACGAGGAAAAGGTGTTTGCCTTTAGTTCCTGCGTTATCCTGTACAGGGGCTCCTGAGCTTTGGAAGCTGTTCCCAGCACAGGAGAACAACTCCCCTGTTTGCAGCAGGAGACTTCGGTGCACAGGGACAACGCTGGAGTTCAAGAGGAAGCCAGCAGTGCTGCACCGTGGGCCTCAGACGCCATTGTCGTTTGCCAGTTTTAAACGTAACTAGTTGCAGACGAAGACCACCTTGAAATGCAGGCTTGTTGGGCTTGTTTTGAATTTTAACCTCGGATGGAAGAGCCCTAGTGCTGTCTGTCTCCATGCGGGATGATGCTTACTTAGGCAACAGGTGATTATCAACAAAGGATGCCACGGCTATACTCTGCAAGGTGGTGGTCCGGTGGCAAACAGCTGTGTAAACCCTTGTAAACAGGTAAGAGGGCTTCTAGAGGTCAAAAATGCATTTGATTAATAGGGTGAGGGCTTTGGCTGGTTGGGGTATTGTTTCTCTGATTGCAAGTCTTTAGGCGCTCTGCTGCCTTTACTAGCTCTCTCCTTTCACCCAAGTGTTGTGTTTGCAAAATCCCAGGCTGGAGCTTTTGTGCTACTTGGGGTGTGTGTGTGTGTGTGTGTGTGTGTGTGTGTGTGTGTATTTTTAAATTTACATTTGAAAAAAGTTTTTAATGTGGGAACCAAAATATTAAAATCCTGGTTATGGATTTGGGATTTACAGCCTTGATGTCCTTTAAAGTTTTGACATTTGACATTTTCCATTAACCACGGCCTTCACCCCTTGTGGAGATTTCATGGTACTGGAAGAACTTAACTGCTAAAAAAGGTTGCCATTCCAGATGCTGATTCTGAACCTCCAGGTCAGTGGAAGTGTATCTATAGCACGAAAAGTACCATCAGACTGGAATGATGATATTTTAGACAAAATGGTTAGTTTTTTCCTTGTCTTACAAAGAGATTAAATTATAAAATTAGCTACAATTTGTGGGAAGTAAATAGGCAATGTTACGAGAAATCCAGCTTTTGTCTGCTCTTTCCATTTTCGTTGTCCGTTTAGTCCTACCAGCCTTCTGAGCTCTTCCAGTCCCTCACGCCCCCAACATTAATTAAGCATCAGGCTTTGGCAACTTAACACAAGCACGACTTTTTTTAATGTATAATTCAACCAGGTTTCCTTTATCTTAAGTGGTGTTGAAATTTTGAATAGGATTTTTCTTTTTCACAAAATTCTCGTTTTTCTTCTCTTTCCAAAGGGGAAGAGTGAAGCAGAGTGGGTGTTTGTTTTTGTTTTTCAGTTTCTCAGTGTGTCATTTACAACATCTGCTTATGAGTTGGCTGTCCTCTAAAGCTTTGCTAAGCAATCCCGCCTACATTTCTTCAGATGTTTTATACCTGTCGGAAATGTCAATTTCCAGTGTATTTCCTTTCTTTGGCTAGTCCACACTGAAACCCCATTAAGTAGTTTTCCAACTAGCAAACAAGTACTTTAAATCACTGTTAAGATATAAGAAAGATTATGTTAAACTCTTATTTCTACATGTTTGGTTATCTTTCTAAGATCTTGGGTTTCATCTCAAGAACAAGAAGAAAAGTTATGAATAGAACATTTGTTTATTTGTATATGAGATCATATCATGCAAAATGGAAAGGCACACAGCATGACAGTCTTTTGAAACAACTCGTGAAATCATTTTGTTTCTAGCTGCACCGTGAACGAAAAATTATTAATTGAGTTGAGTGTTAGATCTAGAGTTCTGGTTTTATAAATCGAGCCCTGCCCTTTTGAATAATTTGTGTGGTTTCCCAGTGTCTTTCATATGGTCTAAATTTAGGATTCTACTATAAAGGAAATAATTCCAGTAACATCTTTGAATTGACTTGTGCCTGTTTTGAAAAGTCTGGCTCTATTAGAATTGAAAATAGGGAGTACTCTGTCTTTAGTAATACAACTTAGGTTTTATAAATTGCCACTTCTGTAGCTTGAGTCACATTATTGTTTACAGGCTGTTTATCTGAGGCAGTGAATTTAGTACTTATGGCCCGTGGCAGCATCTATTTTTCTTTTTACAATTGGATATCTGATTATGGCTTATCTGACCACTATCTCCATCTCCCTCCCATTCCAGTTTCCTCTCCTTAAGCAATTTGTTGTATGACAGAATTCCTTCAGACCTCAGACAAGATTGTCCTTCCAGCCAAGAAAAAATTTTGACCTTGAGGTCAAATTACTTAACATGATTCTTCTACTCAAATGCTTTAACATTAAGCATTCAGGTAGAGTTTCTGTATAATTATTTGAATGCTGACCGCATGTTAACAAGTAAAGTGCTGAGCATATAGATGAAAGTATATAGTCTCTACCTGTGTTAGCTTATACTGTAATTACAAGATAAAGACAAGTAAGTGGTTAAATATCATGGGAAAAGTTCACTGTTTAAGACAGTTACAGAAGAGATGTCACAGGCCAGTATTTGATTAATTGCCAATGAATTTTTACAGGAGATACAGGTCTATGCATGAGTATATGAACAGGTTACTTTGAGCTGGGATCGTTTACAAAATGGTTTTGTTAGTTGAAGAAGGATGTGGAATGATGAGGGAGGTAGGGATTGAGATGTCAGGCAGACAAGCATGGATAATAACAGCTTGTTGATCACTGGAAAAGTTGAGTAGGCTGAAGCCTGGGCAACTTGTAAAAATGGTTGGAACAACAGAAATAGGGAATCTTGAAAGGCAGGGCAGTTTGAGCAAGGTGAGAAGTGAAGATGCATAATCAGTTTGAGGCATGTTTATAGAAAGCGACGGTACTAATAATAGCAGTCATTTATTAAATGGCAGCTTTAAGCCAAGCGTTCTGCCAGGTACACATTGTCTCACGTAAGTCTCCCTACAGACCATACTCTGACACCTAGTAATTGATGGAGCCAGGGCTCCAGCCAGGCCTTTGTCCCAGTGAGGGTTCTTGGTCGTAAGGCCGTACTGCCTTACCTGCCTCACTACTTTTTTCTAGAGGCTGAGATGAGATAAAGCTGCAAACTTGAGAACATGTCTGGGCAGTGGGTTTCAGACTGTAGAGTGTATCAATGTTTGTGGTTCTTGGAAAACAAGCAGGCCCTTGGCTCCAACCCCAGGCATTGTGGGATTTGTTAGGGCTGACATGGCCCAGGAGGCTTTGTTCCTCTACTGGGTTCCCAGGTAATTCCAATGTAGTCTGTGGTCATTGGCCACATGTTGAGCATCACTGGCCCACAGAGAGTAGAGTGCTGTCGTATAAACATGGAGTGATGTCGTATGTAAGGCATAGGAAGGGGAGATGGTGTGGAAAAGAATCCCAACTGGAAGAGCCAGAATAATGTTTGCTCTCTGAGGCTGAGAGGAGAAATTTGCAGAAGATAAATTCAAAGCTGTTACAGAGACAAGCAGAATGAAACTGCAAATGCCACGGAATTTATCACTTAAAATTGTCACTTAAGTCACAGCTTTATAGTCATGTAATTATTTCTCTAAGGAATTCAATCCAGCTTAGTATATAATTTTGCCTCATAACAGTCTGTGAGAAGGGCCAGTGTTCAGTTCATGAAATGCTAAAGGCATACCACAAAAGTTTTGTGAGTTGGCTTTTGGTTACAGAGCCAGGAAACTGATTGGGATATTCTTGAGTTTTCAGATGTTAATCTAAAAATAATGTGACTGTAGTCTGTCTGAAATTAAAATCGAAAGTGATTCTAGGATTATGAATATATAGGTGCATGTACATGTGCACGTTGCTTTCCATGAATGAACCAGCACCTGTATAACTTGGTTAGGAGACAGAATGGAATTCTAAATAAAGTTGAATGTATCTTTGATTTCTAAGTGGTTGAAAGATTTCCCATTTTGGATTTTCTAAACTGGGTTTGTCTTCAATTAGTATAGCCAGTTCTTCAAATATTTACTTATCTGTTAGGTACCAGGAATTATTCTAGATCTTGGGAGTATATTGGTAAAGAAAACAAATGTTTCTCATGGAGCTGACATTCTGATGGAAGAAGGGAGCTAGTGAACTGTGAGTCAGGGCCAGTTGCCAAGGACAAATGCTGAATGTAGTAGAAAGCCATAGAAAGTTTCAAGGAGGCAGTGATGCGACTTGATCAGGATTTGACCACCAGTTTCAGGAAAGTAACACAAATATCCCTCAACTAATCCCAAGATCTTGAATAATACCTGGTATATATATAATAGGTACCCA